TATATATATTTATTAAAATAATATATAATATTTTTTATATTAATTTCAATTATTAGGAATCTTTAATCTTTCGTCGTCGTCGCCACCGTCATTTCGTAGTTACTTTTTTATGAGTTATTGCGTTTGGGCGATGACGTCAATACCTTTTCTTTGGCCTTTTCATGTTCGTCCTCGAATATGATTTTCGTTATAACAATATCACCGGTACTAAGTGTTTGCGAAGCGGTATCGACCACTTTTACCGGCTTACGTTCTACGTTAACCAATACAGCGTTACGTAACATAGTAGTGGGTGTAGTACTGCGTTGTTCCACTTGACAATTACAGTTTTTCATACTAAAAGATAAGATTTACAAAATAAAATAAAAAAGAAAACCGCATTAAATTACTTCAATGGTTTAACTCAATGAAATATTTATTTTTAATTTAATTACTTTTTCGCTTTCTCTCTCACTATTTGGAGATTATCCGTAGTAGCTATGGTTGTATCAAATTGATCTTGTATTGAATTCGATGTAAGTATCTGTAAACAGAAATGGAAAAAATTAAAAAAAATTATGCTTTTTCCTTTTTTCACCAATAATTTTTAATAATGTATGCAATGTATTTAAACTTTTAAAAAAGGCACTGTTCGATCCCTTAAATGTCTTTTTACCGAGTTGCTTCCTGGAATTTTTCCTAAAACATTCAAAAAAAAAAAAAAAAAAAAAAAAGAAGGATATTAATGGAGAAAGACAAGAAATTTTGAACAGTCCGCGAATTTAAACATAGTCGCAGCGACGTATCGAAGGCATTTTGAATGCTCTGGATAACTTGGCAAGTATTTTAAAAAACATTTAGCAATAAACAAGTTGGGCACGGCAGGGCTTATATACCCTAAACCATTTCGCTTAATTTTCCATATGATTTTTGAAAATAAGGCGTTACTTGGGAACTGGTCGATAAAATCGTCTGATCGAAACTATTTTCAATAGCGTTCATCCTTGGGTCAAAACATGCTGGCCTACCAAAATTTCATCAAAACATCTGGAAAAATGCGATCTATAGGGAGAACACAAGAAAACAAAATGAAAAGACGAACAGACAAGATTAGGGCCTATTTCAAGTCCTTCTTGAATTAGCATACATCCGCACAAACTTAATAATATATCCTCGTGCTATAAATGCCGTAGGATATAAGAAACTGAATTTTGATTTTCTTGGAACCAAATGTCTTGAGTGTGCTGTACCTACCTAGTTCCTTGAATATTTATTGTGTTGCTTTAAAATTCCAAGTGCAACTTAAAACTAATGCCTCTACTGAGAATTGTGAGGTTTAATGACAGATTTTTAAGTCGGTTCTTCCAAACGAAAAAACAGAGAAAATGAAATCAACGCAAGTTTTTTTTTAAATTAATTTTTTGAATTTGAGGGAGAAAGGATTTGATTTTTTATCACACTGAGCTTGTCTGTCTGTCTATACATTTTTGTATTCAAACAACAAAAAATCGCAAGTCTTGGAATATTTTTATGAAATTTGATACATCGATAAGCCTAAGGATGAACACTACAGAAAAGGATTCTGATCGGAGATAAGATGTCATTACATGAATAATTTTATAAAGCAACACGATGCAGAGTGCTTCACTATAATGGTTTTCTTAGTTGTTGAATAAATTGAAAAGGTTACCCTAGGTCGTATTTGACCTTAGAAATTAATACAGAATTTCATTTCTTTATCGAATCTTGTAGGAGTTGTAGAGACAGAACAAATTATGTCAATTACTATTGTTCCGCTCTACGCTTAAGAAATTAAGCTTTTCAAATTTGAATATCACAAAACTTACTTGATCACTTGGCAACAATGTAACAGCCGATAATATTGCTTCTAATTTATCAATTTTAGCTACACGATCCATGGCTTGATTTGATAGAATTTCATCCATTAATTGCATTGATTCCGTCAGGCTGGGCGGCTCAGAGCTAAAACGCGGTGAAAAAGTGCCCGTTAAGGAGTTATCAGATGGCACAGAATCTAAACTGGGGAAATTATCATTTTCATTGACTTCAACGTCATCGTCCGAGTCAGATTGATCTCTATAAGACAAACTAATTTTATAAACGCATTCGTGTTTTATGTTTTATGTGTAATTCGGATTACCTATTATGCTGACCTGAGGATTCCATTTTTTCTAATTTTTTGGCTACTTTATAATAACCCTTTAAACGTTCCTTTTCATCTTCAGTTAAATCCATATATCTAAAAAAAAAAAAAATTATTATTTGATAAAACTTTATAAAATACGTAAGTAATTAGAAAAATGTTACCTTAATAAACGTATTTCCCGATTGGATAATACAATACTTTTATTGGTTTGCGACAATTTCTGTTTGAGATCGGCCACTTCGGTACTGATTTTACGTTGCTTCTTACGTATCTTCACTTCATTCGGCTTTATGTGCATCAAAATTTGTTCGGTGCATAAATCCGAAAATAATTGCAAGTTTTCAGGTTTAATTTGTCTACAAAGGCAAAATCATACAAAAACATCAGTTACAGGCTACAAGCTGGGCTGTAAGTCATCAAGAGTTTAGACTATCGTCTATGAGAACAACTTGAAAGTGATAATTTCTTGTGATCGCCATAGAAAGAGCAAGGAAAAAACGCTATAGATTCAGAAAGTAAATCTGTAATAATAAACTAGTGTTTTATGGTACGTTCTTTGTGCTAAATAACGAAAGTACTGTACTGTACGCACTATACGCTTCAACGATTTTCGTTCTCTTCACAAAAAAAAATTTAAAAAAATGAAGCTATTATTTGATCGTTCAGTTTTATTCAAAAATCGAATTTTAAACAACACCTGCTAAGCGTGGTGGTTTGTGGTGATGTATAGAACAACCTTGATACAGATCCATTTTTTATTATACTAATCTAAGCTTGTCTGTCTATCTGTCCGGTTTGCATTTTTATGTTCAACCTACGAATGGAAATTTTGGTGAAGTTTGGTGAAGTTTGGTACAGCAACGTGTTTTTTGGTTCAAGGACAAACAGCGTTGGAAATTGGTTCGAGCCTCTATAAGGCTTTAACTTTGCAAAGTAGTTTAGATGAGCTTTGACCCACTATAATGTTTTTACATGTTTTCTTTACTTTTTTCAATTTTATAGCCACTGTAAACTCGTTTCCCTTAAGGAGGGAGAGTACCATAAATGTTTTTATTTCTTGACTTTGAACTTTCTAGAGTATGTGGAAAAAATCCATAACTTAAAAGAAATTCCCCCTTTGAAATTTCGGGTCTTTTCTGGAAGGGCTCCAAAAAATCCAAAATGAATCTGCGTTCGAAGTTACAGCCTAATACCTTATATGCGGGTTTCTAACTTTTCTAACTTGCTCATTGAGGTCAGTGGCCTTCACCTTAATAGATACGTTGTTTTTGACAAGAAAAATTATTTTATTTAACTTTTTAACTATGTAAGGGAGCAACATTTAAAGTTGTACTTTGAACCAATGCTTTTACCCTTCGATTATTACCCGTTTTCCAGAGTAAGGCAAAGTGTAGATTTGACCGAAAATCGTGCTTGCTTGCAAACAATCGTGTCGAAAATTCAATTCAATTTTTTTTAAGTTTTTAGTTTAAGGGCTAGTCAGCCTCATTTAGGAAAAGTTTGCAAGTCGATGCTTTCTTCTCTAAGAAATCTTGGTCAAGGCTAATAAGTAAAGATCGTCTAAAGACGATCCTCATTAACTGAATTTTCAAAATTTTTCAATAGCAATTTTCTAGAGCGGCGTTTGGTTAGATGTATATGGTTAAATGTATATTGTTGCCAATTGTCTACATTCCAGTTTCACTTAATTATAAAATTAATTTGATAGAAGAATTTAAAAAAAAAATTGAAAAATAAAATAAACTCGGCAATAATAGGCATTTAAGGGTTAAGAAAAAAGCACTGTGCAAGGGTTTCTACGGAGATATTATATCTGGAACTGGTCCAATCCGAGCCGGTTTTAAAAGCGACCTTCACGCTGGACATAAGAATACAAGACGGACAGTCGGGCAGACAAGTTCAGCATAATAGGAGGTAAGTCTATCTCAAATTCTTTTAGGTGTTGTATACTTATACGTACATGTTGTACACTTAACATATCCTTGAAATGATGTAGGATACCAAAAAAATAAGTACTATTGCAAGTCGATTGTCTATGGTGTCAAAAAGTTTTCGAAAAAATCTTTGTTTTATTTGAAGTTTATCCTATGAACACCCAGTTTCTTAATCAATGTTAAGAGTGAAAAATCATTCCGAAATTTTTGTTAAATTTAGTTCAATTCTTCAATTGTTAAATTTCCACCAACCTTGCCAAGTTTCCATAAAGTTGGTCGTTGATTAAAACTAAGACATCGCCGGCAGCATATAATAACATATCTCGGGTTAGAGGGCGCTTGGCCCAATATTTCTGATCTCGCCGATAGACTTGTTTCAACTGCTCTTTAATAGGATTTATCGGGGCATTGTAATTTTCGCAGAGGGAATTCAATGATATGCACTTCGCTTTGTACACTTGCTTACCGCTCTCTTGATATTGTATAATAGCATGGGCAGCCTTGATTAAAAAATTGATTTATCAATTAAAACCTTTAAATTTTGATTTAAAACTAAAATCCATACTTGCGTATCGAAAACATTGCGTAGTAAAATACCAAATTGTTGATATAAATTTACGGCATCGTTGCGGCAATCGTGTATAACTTTAATCACGTTCTCGTGTTCAAGTAAAGTTTTTAGACCGCCATCCGAAATCATTTCGGGACATGTGCGCACATCAAATATGAAAGCCTCACCTCGAGTCGTACCGATTTCGATGAGTGTCACCTCACCCTTCACGCCCAAATTAATGCCCTCACAATCCAACGATATGACAATATTTTGCTGATTTTGGGCAAATTTTAACATGGCCTCTGTTACGAATAGGGACTGTTTAATGTTGGCTATAACGCTCGTGTTTTGCAGAACCTTAATTTTCCACGTATCGCCGACAAAATAATTCTGACTAGGTGACGTATGATTACTTCCATAAGTCCCACTTATATTATTATTACTATTATAATGTTGTTGTTGTTGTTGTTGTTGTTGTTGCCCAAGGTGAACGGGACTACTATGAGCCGAACTTTGTGGATTATAACCGATTTGCCCGCAGGCCTGTTGATTGGCTAAATATTGCTTATCCTTCTCGTAATTTTCGGCAAGAGTACGAATGACCAGATTGTTAATGCGTTGTTTCAACGTTTGATTGGCACTGTTTATACGTTCCGTAGGCGGTTGATGTAATAGAGCCGTACCGGAAGCATTATGATTGCTAAGTTGCTGATATGAAAATTGCTGCTGATTAATATTGGAAGGAATGCTTATGCAACCGTAGGAAGAGCAATTGGTCGGAGAAGGATAGTTGCGTTCGCATAAGTTTTCTAATTTCATTTCAGCCAATGGAATATAACTATCAAAACCGGAATTCGGTTCCGATCGATTAGGTGGCGAGTCGCCAGCAGCTAATGTAGTAACTGGAGCATTGAGTTTAAAGTTAGGTGAGGTTATATGATTGACAATGCTTATCGAAGAGTTGTTGTTATTATTGAAATTGTGACGTAATCCCGATGATCCTAAACGTTGTTGTACGGAACTCGCTTGCGGTGACTGCGGTTGCTGTTGAACGCCCTTACGATAATTATTCATAGTGTTATATTGTTCCCGTGTCTTAGCCTGGGCCTGCTGGATATGTGAATCACTGAGTTTAGGCTTTTGCAACAAAGTGACTAGATTAGCTTGTATGTGAAAACAATCGGAAAATAATCTCAAAAACGTGGTCAAATCGCTGGGCGTTTTAAACATGCGCAACCATTGCTCTTGCGGAAATTTCGTCGTGACCAAATGAAACAATTGATCGACCAAGATGGGTCCTTTCGACTCAATACAACAAGCGAAGAAATCTAACATTTGTTGCGTGCCTCGGGTATCGATAATCGTTTGTGGCAAGTGCAAACGTTCACGTGCCGGTAAGTCTTTCAAATCTTCGCAACCTACCAATGTAACATGATCGTCGTTCACCTTAAAAGTATCAGGATGTTTAAGCAAGAATTCAGTAAACTCCTTAATATGTTGACCTGTAACAAACACAACAAAAAGTACAAATAAAAAATAAAAAAAAACAACAACATAAAAATTAAACGTCTTGGCTATAAAATTCGTACAAGGAAAACATAAATGCTGCTCTTACCTGATATGTGCCGCACTTGCGGTGATGCTTGCGAGCGGTGGCCCAACAAACTGCGCACCGGTACTTCCACCCCAATGCCATATTGAAGTAATTTATTTTTGAAATAATCTTTGGCTTCCTTCTGATAATCACGTCTCCCCCCATAGCCACCGTCATCCGAATTGTGATGTTGATATGAATTCACCTGCACGTAATCGCCATCAACTAAAAAAATGGAAGGATATTGCGCCAAAAATTTCTTCAAACCTGCAACGAAAATCATAAGAAAAAGAAATACTTTAGCAAAATGTTATGTTCAAATATACTCGACATTGCATACAGTCATACACTTCATGGAATGGTGGACGGGGTAGCGGAATGCCGCTATAAATTATTAATTCAATTTTGTTAAGAGGTTTCGCTTTTCGTTCCATAAATTTTTTATAAACAGGATTTTTCTTTAAGTTCTAGATGAAGTTTTCAAGGGAATCACAAAAATTTAAGAACAAAAATATTTTATAAAATTTTGTTATTGAAAAGTAAATGAACCGCTCCCTCTCTCTCTCTCGCTCCCCCTCATCCCTTCTGCCACTCTAAAAACATCTCATCAGACAACAGTATCCATAGTTTCTGCACATCCAGCGTTAATTGTTTACAAATACATGTTGTTGCTTATGACAACCAGCTGACTTAAATGTCATATTCAATCACATCACATCATATTATGTCACAAGGCATTGCATACACGAATGAACAAAAGAGATAATAATGAAAAAATGTTACTCATCTCGTGTAAATGTTTATGAGTGGCATGCAGTAACATTGGAAACAACAATGCAGCAGTAATAAGATAGTTGGCGAGCATATGATATGTCAGCGATTCTCAAACTAATCGCATAAAATTGTAATCTTCTTTTAAAGGTTTTTTTTTTTGTTTTTGTCCGTCGACCTGGAGCGGACTAAGCCAATAAGAAGTGTGGCTTATATGTTGTTTGTGTTTGTTTGTGATGACGCGTAGCTGGACACTGATCGCTAATTAGTGTCTGCAGACCTGCTTAGTGACATGCGTCACACTATTAATCTACTCCCAGTAACACAACAGGTTGGTAGACGTGTAAGAGCGCAATTCAGTTGGCGGTCTTTTGATGCATGGCAGCGGCTCAGAAGCATAATTATATGTAAACAAAGGTGATGCCGTTGGGGACTCCTCTCATAGTTGTCGGGTCGAAGCCTTTGATTTCACACTGAGACCAATTCAATTTAGCCACAATTCTTGAGTTGACTACAGTAGACGTTCTATTGTGTCCAAAAAGTAAGATCAATGTAAACTTTCCCTTTTTAAATCCATTTGTTATTCCAAATCTATTTCGTCGCCGTCATAATTGTCCTCCGAATTCAAGTTATTCCAGTTCGAGTTTCTTGTTAATAGTTTGGCCGAAGGCGAACGGAATTCAAAGCATACAACACCACGTTAATCGACGAAGACTGTCAGCATCATTTCGATATTTGAGCGACTTTAGCGCGGTTTTTCAGTCCTAGCACGACATTAGCTTGATTGATTGGTTGTTTGTAGGTCGTATGCATTGCTCCAAGTCCCATTTCCAATAATAATACGTTTCGTGACCGATGGATAGTCAGAAATCATCTCCTCACATATATCAAAAAGGGCTGAAAGTTTTATGCGCAGCTGAAGCAATGTTGACGTTTATGATGCGAAATTTGACCCAGAGATCTGTCCCAGAAAAGCAAACATATCTAATATTCGATATACCCGCGCAATTTAACTTGCATATTGAACACAGTTCTTGGTTGCAGTGCTTTTTTTTTATCTGAAGAGAGCGTTTATAATTTTCCGAATTTTCTTCTACTATGGTCAGCTATAAATATTAGACCAACTTTATTATGTGCCACAGAAACATCTGACGCATTTTTTATAAATAAAAAAGATTTCTTGGACGGGGTCGAAAGAGTCATTGAAACGTGCGTAATATTAGTCAGCAAAAAAGCTATATTCGCTTTTTGGCGAATTTTTGAAACCCATCTTCCAAAAAAAACGGCTTTTGGGTAATATTTTTCACTGCGGACGTGGCAATGCGTTCAGCTTTGCATAGGCCTTTAAGGAGCTTGTCCTATGAGATATGTTTTCTTTTAATATGACCAATCACCCAGGGTATGTTCACTGTACGCGTAGCACGACGACGGTACGAAAGAAGTGGAGAATGATAGAGAGAAAGGCCCGCCAGACCACGGCCTCATTGGTGCGAGCCAATTGGTAGGTGTTAGACAGATGAAATATATCTTCATCAGTATATCTTCTAGGCTGCAAGTTTTAGTTGTTTTATCTATCGGCATATAATGGCCGTTTTTTAATTTGTGTGGTCGTCATCAGTTGAAAATGTGCATACAATTAAATCGATTCCGACTTTTCTATTCTATACAGTTCTGTTATAGTGCCATCAGATCTTAAGATGCTGTGTTTGTTCTGATTGTTGGTGTTCGGCTCAATCGAGGACTCCAAGCAGAGCAAACAATAACCTGAATTGCTAACCGCATAAGATCAGGGATTAGTGTACGGATCTCGGTATTCGATTGCGTTGGAAGCGAGTTGTTTAACTGTTCATTCTTTGCATTTATGATCAAATATGTGTGAATATCGTACAAGGCTTAATAAATGAAATATAAACCGAAACAAGTAAATATATTTGAAAGTTGATATTAAATAAAAATTTCACGCAGCGAAAGTAATGGATTCCGCCATTTTGCGAGGATGCTTGCTAACTGTTTTCTTGTAACTCATATTATTGCCAGTTATTATCGTCCTCAGATATTTTTTCGTTAATTCCACATTCACTTATACCTTTTCATATCTTATGGTAATAAGAAGAGGTAAAAGCTTTTACTATTTTTGCCAACATATTGAAATTTCTGAGATTAAGTAGTCTGTTCATATCCAATGAATTTATCAAATATGTGCACAAATATAGCATTTTACAGTCGATATCGGGCAAACATTCATACGCTGTCACATGAACACCATCAACTCAATACTTATTAACAGTTGCTCGATAATGAGAGCCATAAATGCCAAAATGGAAAGTTGCTATTTATGTAACGACTTTTGTATATTAGAAGTGGTCGAGAAAGTGGTTCGTTCCGAATCGTTTTCAGTAGCGTTCGTCCTTAGAGCAAAACGTATAATCAAAAGTCATCAAAAATTGGCAAAAATTGGCAAGAATACAAGATGGACAGACGGACAGACAGGGTTACATTGATTCAGATATTTATTCTGAATCTAAAATAGGAGGAAAGTCTATCTCAAGTCCTTTTGAATGGTCTACATATTCGCACAAACCTAATATACCCGTTAATATGCTTGCATGACAATTGTGTAGGGTATAATGGTGTAGGGTATAATAACTTACAAACAAATACTAGCTGCAGGAAAATTAATAAAAAATGAATGCAAATAAAACGAAGCATCAGCTGCTTTCGTACCGCATTTTGTATTTCTTTTTCCACTGATATATGCTTACTTTGGCAAATATCAAAAAATGCACATTTGACTACTTACTAGAGTCGACTTATCTTTACAGTGGCAAGGTAACGCAAAGTATTGTATAATAACAAATTGAGAAGTAATTGGTAGCACACTATGCTCAATGCAATATACCATGAATTCAGGTTTCAAATTACTTGTGAACGTCGCAAGATAAACTTCTTTTCTCGACTGAATGTAGAAAATCCTTCGCTTTTTTCTTTTTAAAGCAAAATTTCTTGTGAAAATCGGAAAAATATTGAGTTTGGAATGCCTGCAAAAGCCATAAAAAAGGGTTCTTCGCTATAATCAATTTCTGAATCGATTTAAGCTTGTGAACTCTGGGGCAAATAATAAAAAAATTTGCTAACACCCTGCTCTGGGTCGCTGCCTAATCTATTTAAGGGGTGATATCATGCCGACGTTTTTCCAACTCTCCGTAGGATTGCCAATGGCTAAGTCATGCTCAAGAAGGATGACGCCATCTTGCAAACTATCGTCCAATTGCACTCTGTTCCGCTATAATGAAGATGATGGAGACCATGGTCCACTACCATCCACCTAGATATCTGCAATCCAACGATCTAGCCAGTGATAGGTAATATGGCTTTTGCCAAAAGTGCTCCAGTGGTGGTCTAATGCCCTATCTCACCCAAAATTGGAATCCGGGCTAGTGTTCTGCAGAGATAAAAAAGAATTGCCCATCAATTAAGTCCTTTAATGGGACTACATGGCCTTTTCAGCGTTTCCGTCCTGGAGTTACTTCCATTCCATACGACACACTAACGCGACTCGTCGTCTTTTAAACATACTGCTTGCCTTTGGAACAATCTACCAGCGGTTGTCATTTCCATGATGTGTCCATTTTCGAGATCAATGTTCACAAACGCCACTTCCCCTCTCCACCCGTTTCTTCCTATAACCCTTCGTGATCACCATCGTTATAAGCGACATCCGCTGACTGGCTGGCCATAGAAAAAAAAAATGCGGAATTGTTGAGATATTTTGATAAAATTTGGTACACTGACCGGGACGCTATTCCAAATGGTTCGGATCGGCCCAATTATTCGATCATTTCTCGCGTGAAAATTCGTTATATAAATAACGGGTAGTAGGTAGGGCAGTTTAGGGTATATAATAGCAGACCGTGACCTACCACAGTGTTTTTACTTGTTTTTACCTACCACAGTGTTTTTACTTGTTTCTAATAAAAAAATGTAATCTGGAAAATTTTACAAAATTTTTCTTTTATTATTCAATAACTGAGCACACATAACTTGTGTTCAGCATTATTACTATTCTTGTTTGATACTTGAAAATGTAGAAAATGTAAACAAAAGATTAATATTGTAATGAATTCCATTTTAGCTGAGATAAGAGAAACATAAAATCTAGTTCATTGTAAAATACGTCTGACATTCATGAACGTTAGATTTTTTCCACTTTCTTGTGCTTAGCAAAAATATATATGCGAAGACAATCAAACATAAGCTAAGAGCAGATTAAATTGCAGAACTGAAGTCAGCAAATTTTGTAACCATTTAAATTGTTTGAGAAGAGCTCTGTTTGTAAACATCTGTTCATTCAAGTTAGCAGAGAGCGAGAGAGAGAGAGAGAGAGAGAGTTAATATATTAAACAAAATATATATGAAAAAAAAAAAAGCAAAAATCAAGCCAAGCTGAAATCTAGGTCAAGTCTTAAATTGCAACTAAACAGGTATCTCACGGTTCA